AAGATAATTAGGAATATTTCTTTCCCACATGGATACAAGTGAAAACTTTTAATAGGGCTTGAAGAAAAAGCCAGAGGATTAGCCTTGGATCAACTAATGAAAAAGAATGAAGTTCTATCAGGTCAAGAGAAACAGTTCAACAGGAGCTGAAAAAGGAAGGAACTCTTCATAAGAAAGAGAATCGAGCTGAGGTGGCGCAGTGGTTAGAGTGCTGTACTGCAGCCACTTCAGCTGACTGTTATCTGCAGTTCGGCTGTTCAAATCTCACCGGCTCAGGGTTGACTCAGCCTTCCATCCTTCCGAGGTGGGTAAAATAAGGACCCAGACTGTGGGGGCAATACGCTGACTCTATAAACCGCTTAGAGAGGGCTGAAAGCCTTATGAAGCGGTATATAAGTCTAACTGCTATTGCTATTGCTATTCATCCAGACCTGGAGTAAGCGCTCCTGCTCCGCTTGCCATCTCTCTTGCTTTTTCCTTTCTTCCTCTTGATCCCAATTCCAGCGGCTGGAAGGCGTAATGGGTGGGACAGGGAGCTGCAACATGAAACAAAAGGTTAGCAGGCCCAGAGGGTTCTCCGCAGATGGCTTGCAAAAGAAGGATGCTGGGTGGGCTGGAGTTCACCTTCTGATAGGAAACATGGGTGCTGAACCCTTTACAGGTCAATAAGTAGAGTTGGAAGGGACCTTGGAAGTCTTCTAAGTCCAACCCCTTGCTCAAGCAGGGGACCCTGTACCATTTCAGACATATATCTTCTTAAAAAGCTCCAGTGATGGAGCACCCAGAACTTCTGGAGACAAGTCATTCCATTGATTAATTGTTCTCACGGTCAGGAAATTTCTCCTTAGTTCTAGGTTGGTTCTCTAAATTGATTATTTTCCATCCATTCTTTAATGTCCTGCCTTCCGGTGCTTTGGAGAATAGCTTGACCTTCTCATTCTTGTAACAGCCCATTGGAACACTGCTATTATGTCACCCCCTACTCCTTCTTTTCATTAAAGTGGACATACCCAATTCCTACAACCATAGATTTTAGCCTTCAGGGGATCATAAAGCTTCCACTCCAATTCAACCCAAATCTAACCCTCTTGATGAGAAGGGAGAGGAAAACTTTGGAGAACAAATTGTCAAGAAGAGGGAAGGAGCATCTGCCTCTCTCAGGTTCTTGGGAAGGACTTGCTCGGTGGATACAAATACCAACTCTATCCTAACCCATCTGGTTGACTGATTGTTACTGATAATAATAACAATGGAGTATTACTTACGTCAAGTATTGCTGGTTCCTGGCCTCCTGGATGATTTATAAGATTTTAAAAAAAAAGGAACAAAAACAAGGAGAGAGTGGAAAATCTTTGTTACTCTTACTTTGAAGAAACCATTTCAATCCAAATCAGAAGGCTGCCCTGAAACCACCCCTTTATCTGACTCATCTAACATCTCCCAAAAGACAAATAGCTCTTAAGGTCACAGAAAGGAAAAGCCTTCTACAGGTAGTTGTCGACTTACAACAGCTCGCTTAGTGACCATTCAAAGTTACAACCAGCCCTGAAAAAAAGTGATTTATGGCCGATCTTCACGCTTTCAACGCTTGTTGTGTCTCCATGGTCACGTGATTAAAATTCAGATGCTTGGCAACGGATTCATATTTATGACGGTTGCAGTCTCCTGAGGTCATATGACTGCCTTTAGCAACCTTCCGACAAGCAAAGTCAATGGGGGAACCAGGTTCATTTAACGACCACTAACTTAACACCTGCAGTGATTATTTAACAACAGTGATAAGAAAGGTAGTAAAATGGGGCAAAATTCACTTAACTCTCTTGCTTTACCAACAGAGGTTTTGGGTTCAATTATGGTTGTAAGTCGAAGGCCAACTGCATTGATTTCATACTTCCACCATGAATTGCACCTTCTTCTACTCAAGGCTTGCCATACATAGGCAACAATAAAAGTATTGGTGGCACCTGCCTTGATTATTGTGCTAGGACACCAAAAATAATCTCTGAGAAGACCATTTTTAAGAAGATGATTTCCAAGAATGCTAGAATACTGTTTTGCAGGGGAATTCACATTCCTGCATCATTCCCAACCATCGTCTTCTTTGCAAAATGATATCCCAATCCCCAACCAATCAAACATTTTTGGTCGTCGAAAACAAACACGTCACACCAACCTTGGCAGGCTGATGGGGCGACGTCTAGAATTTTGAGCAATTTTGAGGAAGGGGACCCGAGATTTTATTTTTAAAATCATCATTGCCGCGGACACTAAGGGAAAGTTCAAGGCTAACAGATAAGTAGTTTATCCAAAAGCATTAACATGAGACAGACATGGAATTTAGCCCCAGCATTCCAGGTGACTCTTTTCATATCCTTTTGGCACCAGTTGTCTCATGCAAAAATCCCAGTCCTGAAGAGCCACAAACTTCAAGAACTGCTAATTTTATAATCCTTTTTTTTTAAATTTTCCAGAATGGTTACATTGGGACATACACCTAGCTCTCTTGACCCAGATCCGGGGCCTCCCAAATTGCTCTGTGGCACTGTAATCTATGGTTCTCCTTCATGGACCTGGACTTCTTATTGTCTCCTCCTGCGGTGTCAGCCTTCATCTCCCCACTTCCTCCCTCATCAGCCTGGGCCACCACCCCCACCTGGCCGAACCTTCCTTCCCATGCCAGACAGTTTGAGAAGCAGTGTTGGCCTCCATCTTTGCTTTTCCACAATTGCTTCCCAATTTATAATCTGTGTTCAGATTATATTTTAACTTTTAGGTGATCTTGCTGATAAGACTTAGTGATGTGATACAAATCAACTCTTCAGTATAATGCTTTTATCTATCTATCTATCTATCTATCTATCTATCTATCTATCTATCTATCTATCTATCTATCTATCTATCTATCTATCTCCATATCCATATATCCATCCATCATCTATTTATCTATCATCTATCTATCATCTATCTATCATCTATCTATCTATCATCTATCTATCTATCTATCTATCTATCTATCTATCTATCTATCTATCTATCTATCTATCTATCTATCTATCTATCTCCATATCCATATATCCATCCATCCA